GAATTCACAGAGTTGAAATGAGGAGGTCATGGCAGTCACAGAGACGGCTTCGACCCAGCGAAGGCACGAGAACAACGACTGCGATGGCATGGGCACGTACGAGGAGGCCCGAGGACCACCCGATAAGGAAAGCCTTGGACTTCGAGGTGGAAGGCAAGCGACCACGAGGAGCCCCAAAGAAAAGATGGAGGGACGTCATCAAGAAGGACCTCACTGAAGTGAAAGCCACGGCAGAAGATGCAGTGGATCGGAACAAGTGGCGACGTCTAACAAGAACAGCGGACCCTGCGACGGCGCGGGACTAACTTTAGGGAGAAGAAGAAGAAAAAGTCTTGGACGGGGCATTGTAGACCTCTTTCTTCGAGTCAATTCGATCTAGGAATGCATGTTTGGGTTTGGGACACGCCCATAAGTTATTTTTACGTGAGGAAGGTAAAACGCGCTGGTGGTGTTATGGTTGGCAGACTTGCTCCCGAAATCCCCAACTAATGATATGCCTGTATCAATCTAGCGAACGGTATGGATTGCGGTGCATGCAACCAACTGCTAAAGCAGAGAATTATGCAATTTGATGTGGCACACACCGCCATTTGACGACGCCTAATCCAGCGGTCTGCTAACTTCGTTTTTACCTGTACTCGTTGGACGTTGGTGGACGCTAGATCGATATCTATTTTTTCCTGACCCCGGGGGACGCTGTTAGACGCTGGTGGACGCTAGTGAACGCTGGCGTTCGCTACATTGATATCTATCCTCTTTTGGTCGCTGCCGCTGACTGACGCTTGGAACGCCGGTGGTCGCTGGTGGACCCTGCCGCAAAGTGTGAACGCAGCCTACGACTCGCCGTAACAATAGTGGGCGTTAGTAACCTTGGATGGAAGAAGGCATTCGAAAGAAAACCTCGTGCAAAACGATCACCTTATAAGGAAGGGTTCCTATACTTGAAACTGGTTCACCTATCCAGAATTTTCCTCCCCATTGAAAGTTAGTCTTCTTTCACGTCATGGTAATCCCATTTTTGCACAAAAAGTCTTTAAATGTCCTCAAGGCCATAAAAGTCCAACCTAAATGGTCTAACTTTCTCTGGTTTGGTATTGCTCAATAGATACTGTCTGTGAAGTGCATTCCTCACCGATTGTGGGAGAGGGGAAGGCAAACAAGGCAATCGTAGTCTGTAGCCTTGCCGCGCGGCGTATCGTGCGGCAATGCGCGGGAGGCGAGGAAGGCTCTCGGTATGCGTCAGTTTGTCTATTGGAGCAGCCAAACTCGTATGAATTCAAGCAAAGACGAGACTCCATGACGGGTGATATCGGAATTTTCCACCCTTTGACACTCATATCGAAACAGCTAGGCAGGGCAACTCGTCTGTCCGGTGCGGCATCG